GTAGATCTTCATGGGTGGCAGGGGGGGCCGCCCTGCCATCTCACCACAGGATACAGGGGGGTCTCTGCTCCGGCACACCTCCCCTCTCCTTTCTTCCTCCGTTCCTCCACTGACCTTGGTGTTCACGCAGCTGCAGCAACTCCTCCTCACAAGTCCCACTGCCCGTCACCACGTCCCTTCTTAAATACGTTATCGCAGAGGTGCAGCCGATTGGCTCAATTTCCCAAACAGAAGTGGAGCTGATGTGGAGCTGGGGGAGCTTCGAGAAGCTTCTCACAGGAGGCCTCCCCGATAGCCCCCTCCCCTGACACCAAAAAACTCAACCACTCACTCAACCCAGGACAATCTGGAACAGTGTTTCCATTAGTCCTATTTGTCTGGAGACATCTAAGCTGATGTTTAGATAGACTGTAATGTGGTTGCCCAGACATGAGGACTGGAGGAAATTCTTTCTGGTACTATGTCTATTAATCCACTAGGAAAATATGATGCCAGATACTTCAGATATTTGGATAGGTGTTTGCAGTGAAAGAGCTGGGAGATGTTTCTACACTGAAGATTTTCTTTAGAGGGCACTGATTTTGAGAAAATGTCTCAAATTCCAATGTCTGTGAAAGAGATTTTAGAAAAATAGAAAAAAAAACAAACAAACAAACAAACAAAACAAACAAAAAAAAAACAACAACAACCAACCAACCAAACAAATAAGTGGCATTCACAAATAAAAAGTGATATTCACAGAGTTACATAGTTACTGAAATAGGAAACTACTGAACTACATACCACAGTAATAAATCAGCAGTGGAGTAACAAACAAAGGCACCAGAGTATCAGATCTATCGTTTGTATAGTCATAAACTATACAAAAAAGGAAGATGTCCTTTCACAGTCTAAGTTTGATTATACAAATGGCATAAGCTAGGTGAAACAGTGTTGCCAAGTAAAATGTATTTGGAGAAACATCTATCCTTCTATTTAAGTAGTCATGGTTTCTAAACTAGACATTACCGAAGCAAAGATCTCTCACACATTATCTCTGATTATTAGCAATCAATGTTTCTGCTTTGCTTGTTTCATTTTTTTTTTTTTTCTACTGTTTCTAGTACAATTTGACTGCCTCATTTCTGAGGCTTCACTCTACATTACATTTTCAGTAGTAAAACATTTAGAGAACAGAATAAACCATCTGCTTAAGTAAGAATATGCCTTTGTGAAAATGCTGGCAGTCTTCAGGATGCGGTGTGTGAGAGAGAAGGTGGAGGAAGATTCTGTTTTCTTTTTAGTGGCAAGTACACACTGAAAGCATGACACACAGATTGTACAAGTTTAACGACTGTTTCTTGTGTCTCCTTGCTATACTATGCTTCTAGAATATATCTAATTTTTTTAAACTATTCTCTACTTTGTGAATAGTCTTTTTTACTTGGATACTGGCCCAAGATCAGGGAACATAGGAAAACCAGTTTTCTTACAGTGTTGACTAGGACTGTCCTCAATAAGAATTGTAACTCAAAGTCTGCTATTTTCTCTGCTTTTTCCCCTTTTCCAGCAAGACAATAATTTATGATTGACCCTACTCCAATGTCAACAAATTTGGAATAAAGCAAAAACTGATCCTAATTCTTCTTGTCCCTGACTTTTAGGGAATCCTATGACTGGAGTGTTTGAATGGAAGGATAGAAGCTCTTTAGGAAGGACAGACACGGGGGACAAGGAGCGGGAGTCATATCAGTGACCAGCTGGAGTGCAGGGAACTCCACCTGGGGATGGATGAGGAACAAACATAGAAATTATGGGTCAGGATTAAAGGGAATGCAAGGACAGGTGACATTATAGTGGGCGTCTCCTACAAGCCGCCCAAGCAGGAAGACTGAGTCGATGAGGCCATTTACAGACAGATAGGGGCAACATCATGTTCACAAGTCCTGGTCCTCACAGGGCAATTAAACCATCATGATATCTGTTGGAGGGACAACACAGCAGGGCATGCACAATCCAGGAGGTTCCTGGAATGCATGGAGTATAACTTCCTTCTCCAAGTAATAGAGGAGCCAACAAGGAGAGGGACTATGCTGGACCTTGTTCTCACCAGCAATGAGGGTCTGGTGGGGAGTGTGTCACTCAAGGGCAGCCTTGGCTACAGTGACCATGAAATGGTGGAGTTCAAGATCCTTAGGGCAGCAGGGTTGGTGCACATCAAGCTCACTACCTTCGACTTCAGGAGAGCAGACTATGGCCTTTTCAGGGATCTGCTTGACAGAATAGTATGAGGTAAAGCCCTGGAGTCAAGAGGGGCCCAAGAAAGCTGGTTAATATTCCTGTCTCACCTCCTCCAAGCTCAGAAGTGATGCATCCCGACAAAGAGGAAGTCAGGTAAAAGCACCAGGAGGCCTGCATGGATAAACAAGATGCTCCTGGACAAACTCAAACACAAAAAAGAAGTCTACAGAGGGTGGAAGAAAGGACAGGTAGCATGGGAGGAGTAAAGAGAAATTATCTGAGCAGCCAGGGATCAGGTTAGGAAGACCAAAGCACTGATGGAATTAAATCTGGCCTAGGATGTCAAGGAGAACAAGAAATCTTATGTAGATACATTAGTGATAAAAGGAAGACTAGAAAAAAATGTGAGCTCTCTCTGGAAGGAAAAAGGAGACATGGTTACCTGGTATATGGAGAAGGCTGAGGCACTCAATGGCTTTTTTGCGTCAGTCTTCACCAGCAAGTGCTCCAGCCATACCACATGATTCATGGAAGGCAAAGGCAGGGACTGGGAGAATGGAGAACAACCCAGTGTAGGAGAAACTCATGTTCAAGAACATCTAAGGAACTTGGAAGTGCACAAGTCCATGGGACCTGATGAACTGTATCCATAGGTCCTGAGGGAACTGGAGGATGAAGTGGCTAAGCCACTATCCATTTTATTTGAGAAGTTGTGGCTTTCTGGTGAAGTTCTCATTGACTGGAAAAGGGGAAATATAACTCTCATTTTCAAAAAGGGAAAAAAGGAAGACCCAGGGAACTATAAGCCAGTCAGTCTCACTTCTGTGCCCAGAAAGATCGGGAAGCAGATCCTCCTGGAAACTATGCTAGGGCACATGGAAAATAAGGAGGTCACTGGTGACAGCCAACATGGCTACACTATGGGCAAATCATGCCTGATGAATTCGTTGCCCTTCTACATCTGGGTTACAGCACTGGTGGATAAGGGTAGAACAGCTAACATCATCTCATCATCTACTTAGAGTTGTGCAAAGATTTTGACACTGTCCTGAATGACATCCTTGTCTCTAAATTGGAGAGACATGGATTTGACGGATAGACCACTTGGAGGATAAGGAATTGGCTGGGTGGTTGCACTCAAAGTGTTGCAGTCAACTACCCTCCACGGCAGTGACTAGTAGCATTCCTCAGGGGTCAGTATTAGGACCGGTGCCATCTTTCTTGGAAACATGGACAGTGAGAATAAGTACACCCTTATCAAGTTTGCCAATGACACCAAGCTGTGTGGTGGGGTCAGCACACTGGAGGGAAGGGATGCCATCCAGAGTGACATTGACAAGCTTGATAGTTGGGGCTGTGCAAACCTCACAAAGTTCATTAAGGCCAACTTAAGGGTCCTGCACATGGGTCGACACAATCCCAAGCACAAATAAAGGCTGGGCAAGGAGTGGATTGAGAGCAGCCCTGCAGAGAAGGACTTGGGCTTATTAATGGATGGAGCCAGCAATGTGCACTCACCACCCAGAAAGCCAACCGTGTCCTGGGCTGCATCAATAGAAGTGTGCCCAGCAGGTTGAGGGAGGAGCTTCTCCCCTTTTATTTTGGTCTCATGTGACTGCACCTGCATTATTGTGTTCAGCTCTGGGCCCCCAACATAAGAAGGACATGGACCTGTTTGAGCAGGTCCAGAGGAGGCCACAAAGATAATCAGGGGGCTGGAGCAACTCCCTTATCAGGACAGGCTGAGAGTGTTGGCACTGCTCAGCCTGGAGGAGAGAAGGCTGCAGGGAGACCTTATTGTGGCCTTCTAGTACTTAAAGGGGGCTAGAGGAAAGAAGAGGAGGGACTCTTTATCAGGAAGCATAGGGATAGGATGAAGGGTAATGGTTTTAAACTGAAAGAGGGTAGATTTAGATTAGATAGAAGGAAGAAATTCTTTACTGTGAGGGTGGTGAGACCCTGGCACAGGTTGTCCAGAGAAGCTGTAACTGCCCCCTCCCTGGAAGGGTTCAAGGCCAGGTTGGATGGGGCTTTGAGCAACCTGGTCTGGTGGAAGGTGTCCCTGCCAATGCCAGGGGGGTTGGAACTACTTGATCTTTATGGTCCCTTCCATCACAAAACATTCTATGTTTCTAGGATATCTGGAGCATCAGTTTATCTCTTCCTACCTTTAACATTAGGAAAGATACTACAACTGATTTGATAACCAGAAGGAAGAGATTTTTTAATAAAGAACCACTATGTGGTGGATTTCAGCTGCCCAATGTTGTCTGTTCCCTTTTAATTAAAGAAAAAAAAAAATGTCCATGTTTTTAATTTATTACAAGCCTGCAATAACAAGTAGACTTTGAAAGAACTGAGACATAAAAGACTCCATCTATCCTTAAAATCCATATCAATTCATGACAGGGTTTATCTCATGCCATCTACAACTACAAGAGTTTTAAAGCTTCTATTATTATGTATTATAATTTATAAATAGTGGGAAACTGAGACGACATATTATATAACTTTAACATTTACACTGGACTGTTTTTCTTTATCATGACTGCTTTAGGTCAGTTTAAGGTGTTCTATGTACTCAAACTCAAAATGTAAAACTAATGAAAGAGAGAAAGAACACAGAACATGGTCTATCACATTGATCTGAAAGATTTCTGAATCAGTTACAGAAGTTATTTTATCTAAAGATTTGAATATCATTGCTTTACTTTATTTTGGTTTATTTTATTTGGGTCTGGGTTAATGTTTTGTTTTGTTTTGTTTTGTTTTTTAATCAGGTTGATATGAAGATAAACAGTCTGGAGGAGGGAAGTAGTGGAAGACTATCACCACAAGTGTGAGCAAAGAACAGTTTCAACCTGGTACGTTTCTCTTTTTTTTTTCCACTGGTGATGTTTTTTCCTATTGGTGGTCTCATTTATGTTTGTAGTAATATCTCAGCTGCTGTTGTTCTTTATTCTTGATGTGATAGGTCTGTGTTAAATGTCATAAACTTTTTTCTGTTTTAACTAAACATTAATACGCAATATCTCATTATCTCTTTGAGATGCGCTTTTGTCGCAGATCTAAGTATTTTGATTCCTCAGGAATGCAGTTAGCACAGAAATTATTTTCTAATCCTTTAAGTAGGTACACAATACTCCCAAATTTTTCCATCTCTTGTCAGAGATATATTTAGCAATGTCAAAAAATTTATGAGCTGAAGAGTCTGCTGTTAAAATGTTATTTTCTGCTTTATTCTGGTTTAGGGTTGTTTTAAGTGTGTGTTTTTTGGTTGGTTGGTTGTTTTTTTTTTTTAATCTAGAAAACCACAATTTAACAATACTGTTCTAGAGGATCAAATTGTATTTTTAAAGCTTTTATTTATTCTAGCCTTATTTTGAGATTTATTTCCTCAGGTGATTTGTCCTTTTATGAAAGAGCTAACTGTGGGTTATTTTTTTCCTCCATACAAGAAAGTCAGTTCAATTTTATCATTGCTGTCTCTTTTGGGAAAAAAAAAAGTAGCTAGAAATGTTTATGGGCAGTAGTCTCTAAGCCATCCAATGGAGTGGAACTAACCCTACTATTGTTTATACACTAACATTTCAGCGACACACACCCCTTTCCCTATAAAGTGCTGGGAAGTGGTAAGATAGTTTTAGAAATTCAGAAATAATTCAGATGAGCTGCAGCATTTAATAGAGTAACATGTTCAAATTTATAAAACAATTAAATTTTTAAAAATTAAAAAATAAAGAAACCTGGTATTGGAGACCTGGCACAATATAAGGCCTTATGGCCTAAGAAAGGATTTATAAATATATCAGCAAAGAATTATGTAATAAGGAGTTGTAAACTTCAGATCTTATTCCAATCTCCATTATCATATAGATGTTTAAGTATGCTCATTTATGTATCTATCTATATATATAACTTCTGTTGATAAATGGATAGTCTATATCCTTTATTTAAAGGAAACACAATAGTTTGCTGAGTTTCAGTCTTCTATAAGTACTAACAATTCATTAGTCGTGCTTCACCATTGCACTGACTTTGCAAGTATATCAGATAATAATGAAGTGAGAAACCCTCTCAAAAGATAAAGCTCACTGACTGTAACAGAGATATTAAAATTGTCAGTAGAGAAACACAAAGAGTATGGCTTTCTCCCTCAGGAAGGATATTTATTTTCATATGATATCAACTTATTTGGACTGTTTGAGCTCTCCAAGCCAAATGGTAAGTCCTCTAACACTGTAATGTAACTCATGCTGTAACTCATGCTGACTCAAACCCACCTCAAACAGGTATTCAGTTCTTGCACATAATGGAAGATGGTCCACTATGGGCTCCTGCAAAAGCTCTTTTTTACTTGGGTGTATTTGTCTTGGCCTGTTTCTGCAGGTTTGGTAGTGCTTTTTGATCAGAATTTAGACTCACCCCGGAACTTGAGGTATTCTTGCCTTAACATGACCACTTCATAGTCGTGTTTCAGGTAGCACAAAAATAGGGTGGTTTTCCTTCAATATGTTTGAATTGCCAACTGTTCAGTCTTCCTTGAAGCTTCTTAGTCTCCAGAAAGTAAAAATACATCTAGGTAATATCTTTGGGGAAGGAAGAAACACTTTTAATTCTGATACATAGAAGAGACAATTTTGCACTTACTTAACTGCATATTTCACTGCAGGGTACCTCTAGAATGTACCTTTCAGAATTATTTCAAAGATAGTTTTAAATATTTTTGTCTTGAATAGTTTTAGTCTTCTGAAAAAATTGTTTCTTCTGCAGTTAGATGAAATGAGGGCATTGGCAAATAACAATAATACAGTAGGAATCTTGATGTAGTTGGCTTTCTGTTTTCATTCCCATTAACTATGAGAAGATTTTTGTTTGATTGTTTTTTATCCATGAAGGTGATCAGGGACTGAAGCAGATTGTCCAGAGAGACCAAGATCTGTGTCCTTGGAGGTGTTCAAAAATAAATTGGGCAAAATCCTGAGCTGGCTGATCTGATTAGACCAGTTTTGAGATGAGCGTTGGACTAAATGACCTCCAAAGACCCCTTCCTTTCAAAATTATTCTGTGGATTTGTGGTTCTATGGTTAGAGTTGTTCCCAATAAATAGAGGAATGTCCTATCAACTATTTTGCTTACTTTCACCAACCACTTCAAAAAATTAATGATGAAGTTTTAACTAAACTGATATTAAATGTGTATTATTTTCCTGTTTCTTGTTACATATATTAGAATATTAAAATCTTGGTCATTCTAAACAAGGTACGGATATTGGATAGTTGAATGTGCATCCAGAAGATGTTTTAGAAATTTTTAAAGGTAAACTTTTCCTTTAAACCACTACATAACCTTGTTAATGAAAATAAATTGCAAATTCCTGGCTACCAACAGATGCCAGCTGGATCTTACTGAGAAAAGGGTTTGAGACTAATCAGCTTTTTTTAAGTTTCCAATTTGGAGTAGTTTCTCTGATGTCAGGAGTGTCTAGAACTAGAGAGTAGAGCACTGTAATTCTGTCATCTGTATTTATTAATGTTGCTATGTATGTTCTCTTTCTGGTGATCTGTTTATTGTGGATTTCCTTAAAATACATGTGAAGTAATGTCATCCACCAAGTAAGCAATAAATATTTCATTCACACTCAGGAGTGGCAAACCCAAGTGCTTAGTAGGCTTAATTTTATTACAAGGTGATTGGGAGAGTCTGAAGTGCAAAAACTACTGAGAGGAAGGAAACCGACATTGTAAGACCTGTATTTGGCTGAGGTCTCTTTCTCTTCCCTTTGGAATAAGGAGCAAAGAAGAGAACTGTGGGGAAAAGAGAAACATGAAAGAAAGGGAAGAGCTTTCATCCTGAGCATGAGAAACAGACTCAGGAAGCTCCCAAGGCTAAGTAACACTGAAATGGAGGTCTCAGCTATTGGCATACAAATTGTCTGAAATTGTGGATCAGCTAAGAAAAACCACTTTGTAAAACATAACTGTTCTTGTTGTTTCTAATTTTTTTTCAGAACTCTTTCCAGATTTGTAGTTAAGAAAGGAATCATTTACCTCAAGAGTTAGAAACTTGTGTTATACTTCAGTCAGGCTAGTGTTTGAAGTTTGTTAATATGATTGTGACAAATCAGTATTAAGGAATTTATGTACTTGCAGCTGAAACAAGAATATCAGGAATTGGTGTGTGATCCCAACCAATTTTCAACACTGATTTTTTTCAAACACTAGGATAAGAGGAGAAGCTTCCTTGGTTGGTTTTTCTTCAGTGCCACTTTGAGAAGAGCAGGCAATAAAGAAGCAGACCATGATGTTATACATTTTCACACCTACTATATATTTTTTTTCAAAATAATATAATGGGAAAAAAAGCTTAAGAGCAGACAGATAAGTCTCCTCTGGAAATTCTGCCAGAGATTCTGGTGGTTTTCAGCATGTTGTGAACAGAAGCCGAGACAGGTTTAGGTAAAGGTAGACAACTTCTTTATTTTTGTAATGTGAATTTAGTATTTCTAATCCCTCTTGTCCATAGTGGTGGAATAGAGCGTGTAGAAGTTTTTGTACCTTGCTTCAGGAATGCATCAGGAATAGTAATGTAACAAAACGGGTGTTTGAATTGTGTCACTATGTTCATAGCTCTGTTGGTTTTAATCTGTTTATTGAGGCAGAATTTTGCCTGAAGTAGATACAACATAATAAATACAACAGATTACATGTAATGTGAAATGTTATTTATCTGGTTCTCAGCACAATACAATTTAACTGCAGCATTGTTAATAGTAAGACTCAAAGCACTGATAGTGCAAAGTGATATATTAATCGCCACATGAACAGAAGAGCTTTTCAGTTTAAATCAACAATAATTTGTATTCATTACTGATGTTTGTAGTGGGGAAGGTGTTCTACAAAGCTTGATCATCCTTTTGAGAGATAGACAGGGTAGGGTGCTAAATGATGTAGGAGCTAGGTTTCTCCTCTAAAAGAAAAACATTTGAAAAATTCACATGTTATAAGAACTTTGAATTTAAAACCCAAATAATAATAAAAAAATAAAAAGAAATGGTAGAGAAAGGACGAGGTAAAAGAAATATTACAAAATTAAAGACTTAGTTTTGGTAAAGGACAAAGAAGTAACTAAGAAATTCAGTCTTGGAAAATTGTCAGGGGACTTAAACTGTGAGGAAAAGTAGTTTAGCTTTGAGAAGACCATATGCTCTTAGGTACTGAGATTTCGCACACTGCAGCAGCTAAAATGGGAGGAGTTGCCCATCTATTGAAAATATTAAAGAAATTTTGGATATAGATATTTGAAAATTTGTTTACACACTGGCTGTAATCCTTTGGGAATTCTGAAGTTGATCTGAAAACTGAACTGCAAACTTTTGAGACTCCCTCTTATTTCTGTTTCTGTCTGGTTCTTATTGACGTCTTTTCCAAAGACAGCTTATAGTAACTGATGTGTATGTTTTAAAGTTACCAGTATGATTATTTTAGTTTACAGCTGTACTTTTTTGTTGTTTTACCTAAAGGAAACCAAGAAAGACTTTATGGATGTAATTTTTTTCATTTCCAAGACCAGAATAGTAGAGTACTCTCTTAATGTCATAGGTATAGTGATCAAAGCAATAATTCATCACTGATATAGTTTGCCAGAAGTCAACAATATTGCATCAGATATGAATCTGGACAATTACTGTTTAACGGAAACACATAATAATTTGATTAAAGAACTATCCCATACCCCAAAAGCGTTTAATTACTGAAAAAGTACTAATCTGAAAAGCACTGCTGCGTGCAAGTCATGGAACATGCAGAAAGTATTACTAATGACAATTTAAGCCCTTATTTTTAGCTACTTCAAAATACCATCT